AGTATAGTACTTTTAATATTTCTGTTACCTCCCTGTTGGACGCTTAACAAGCAAAATAGCATAAACTGCTACAGATAGATCTTTAGCACAGTTTAGCAGAGCTCTATGCATCCCATCAGAGTAGTACAGAGCAATGAAATGAAGACAGACGGTGCAATAAGTGCAAGAGCTGCAAATGAATGGGCACAGAAATTGATTTTGAAATGTTCTTGGCACTTTCCCAATAAAATATTATCACTGTATTTAAAGAGAAGCATTCCATGCATTGTTTCAGGATTACTAAGAATAAACTCTGGCCTCCTTAATTATTTTCTCTTCTGAGACCTATTTTCAGTTCAGCTGCAACATTTACATAAAAACCAAGCAAACTTCTATGGATTGTCAAAATTAATGGGAAAAAGAATTGTATTTGAGCACTGTGTCTAGTTCTGGGTTCCCCAGGACAGGACAGATATGGAGCTACTGGAGAGAGTCCAGCAAAGGGTCACTATGATTTTAAAGAGCTGAAACACCTCTCCCACAAGGAAAGGCTGAGAAATCTGGGACTGCTTGGCCTGGAGAAGACTCAGGGAGGGAGACTCATCAGTGCAGGGAAACACCTGGAGGGAAAGTGAAAACAGGCCAGAGCCAGGATTTTCCAAGTAGTGCCCACTGACAGCACAAGATGCAAAAGGCACAACTGAAACACAGTTCTGTCTGAACATCAGGAAAAACTTTTTCACTGTGAGAGTGTCTGAGCACTGGCACAGGTTGTCCAGGGATGTTGTGCAGTCTTTGTGCTCAGATATTCCAAAGCTACCCAGACACAGTTCTGTGCAATTGGCCCTAGGTGACCTGCTTGAGAAGGGGAGGGGAGCTGGATCAGAGTGTGGCTGGACCACTTCCAACCTCAGCCATTCTGTCATTCTATATAGGATGCTTTTACCACTTAAAATGTGTCACTCAAAAAAAAAAAATTCTTGAGGAGACTGCAGTATCTTGAATATCCACCTCATTCATTTTCAATGTTAGTTAAGCCAACTGTTTCATTCTTTGAGCAGACAAGAACTACACACACAGAGTCAGGTTATTTTATGCTTTCCTAGATTTGCAGCTGCAAGTGATAGTGCATCAGCATCCCCTGGAGAGTAGTCAGCATTCTGCAGATTTCTAAAAGCATCTAAACCAGGCTGCTCTCAGGTGCACAAAGCTGGACCTGTGTGAATTTACATGATTCTGTGTTCCCTAACCCAGGCTGCTTACTTCTTAGGCAAAACTGAAAACAGCTGGGCTAGAAGGTTCTCAGGAAAAGTCTCATATGAAAGTTTTCACTTTTGTAAACCAAACCTTGTCTTACAATTTGGTAATTTGACAAAACAAAAACAAAACCAAACCAAACACAAAAACAAACAAAACAAAACAACACAACCCCAAACAAACAAACAAAAAAACCCCACCCACCAAAAGAAATCTACTATCAAACAAAAAAAAACACCCCACCAAAACAAACAATTGAGCAAACACCATGCAAAACTTTTGCTTATTTGCAAATACAATGTTGTATTTGTGTGTGTCTGCATGTGTGTACACATCATGTAACACATGGTACTATGAAATATGTGTAACTAAGAGACCCAGACTGGATTAAAGCATGGCCAAGACAGAAATTTTAAAGAAGGTCAAATACTGCAGTAATTTTGATGAATCAGAAGTTGGAGATCTTCCATTTCCGTTATCATGTATCTAACTTCCTTAGCATTGTTAAAGGATAACTTGTTTCTGCAGGTACTAGCTTCCTCAAGGACATAAAAACATTATTATCATTATCATCATTAATTGTATGTAAGACTCCACGACATTTTCTTATCACACTCAGTGTCACAGCCTGAAATCCCAGCAATCTGCATCATTCCTCAGTGTCTGTGGCTGTGCCCAAGGCCCAGACACTTGTTCTCAGCTCCCTTCATCACCTCCATGGGCCTCCTGGTGAGATCCCTGCCCTGGCAAGTAGAAGCGTGGTTTGTTAATAAAAGTCTATTATTTCCATCACAGCAATTATTGAGATCAGCTAACACCAAGGCAATAGCAAAATGTACTAGTTGACTTCAGATATTGATTTTTGTTCCTGTACTTTGAATTGCTTCCAAATACCGGCTGTGACAAAAATCTTGCAATTTAAATCTTGGATATCACCCTGACATCTATTGTAGAAAAGATGCACTTAAGGAAATTCAGAATTTACAATGTATGTTGTACAACAGACTAATTAATGAGACAAAAAGAAGTATTTGGTTTAAATAACAACAGTAGAGTGCCCAGTGGGATTCTTTGCTTCCTTACTCTATCAGACAATGCCAGAGCCATTCAGAGAACTGCAGATGAACTGCTGCTCCCTCAAGCATACAAGAGTACTTGTGTTCAGTAGAAATCACTTTGAGCATCAAAAAAATGGGATAACCTGGTGGACAAAGAAACTGTTAATTGTGACAGACATGCCTAAGAGGTCCACCATCCTGTTGATCTGAACAGGCTCGAGCCAAGGGAAGGAAAACCGGGGATAACAATGCCTATGGAAAAAGTTCCAGATAAGGGTGAAGATACTGCTATTTTAGAGTTTTACCAGTTAAGCCAAAACTCTGAATTTCAAATTTCCTGCTCTGCAGAAAGCCCTGGCGTTTGTGAACAGATGAAAAGTGATTCACTCATCACAGGTAGTTCTACATAAAGATACTGAAAAAAGCAATATTCTCTTCAGAGACTCTGTAACAACTGTTATGTTTCTACCTAAGCTGAAACCCTTGCCAAAATTATTCTACCTCTCCAAATGGAAAATGTGACATTTTGTAATAAAAATCAAACAATCAAACCCCAGAAACTTCTAGTCTTGTCTCTTAAGGAAGAGACATGCATGGCTGTCCAAGTACCTATTCAGCATTTTCTACTGTCCCATAATTTCTCATGTTGGCCAATATCTACCATATCTGGTAATTAAGACAGTGTCTCAAAGAAATTCAATTCCTGTTAAATTACTACACTTTATCAATCTGAGTAGTAGACAAAACCTCAGCGTGCTCTTGAAGCAAAAGGTAATTCAGTGCAGCACCAAAACTAATGTGTAATTTTCATTGTGATGAAATGGCAGTGCATGCACCAAAACTTAGGCTATGCTGAAATTTGGTTTGTATTATCAAGTAACAGGAGAAAAAGTTGACCCAGGAAAAGAGATTCTGTTGTGCAATGCCAAGAACATTTCATTTTCAAAACAGGCGCTCATATCACTGTCAAATTATCTTTTGAACAGAAACCACAAAACCTTTTGTGCAGCTTTGTAAGTGGAGCCCATACAGAGCAGGGTTTTCTAGAACCAACAGAAATTATGCTGGAAAATCTTTAGCTACACTGTCAACCCTATCAATGGGCACCAAGAGAAGCCAGTTTATGACGGAAAATAACATTAATGAGATGTTCTAGCCATTTGCAGGGCGTTTTCACATTTTCAATGCTCTAGACTGCCAAGGTCTGTGTGCTAGAAACCACATATGGTACAATCGTGAATAAGTCAGAAAACAGGGCTCTAGGGAACACAGTACCAGCACAGACTAGTATGTGGGTATCTGGAATGTAAAATGGCAAAACGGCACTGAAGAGAAGTGAAGAAACCAAAATCAGAGGATGGAAGCAAATATTTCTCTGAGCAGATCATAAGCCACATAAAAAAGAAGGAAAGAGAATGAACAGATCAGTTGAATCAAAAAGAGGGTGTGAAAATGCAAGTGAGGAACTGCACAGGGTTGAAGGTACTAGGATGAAACAAGTAGCCAGCACGAAGCTGAGAGAAGCCAGCCACAACTTCAGAAAGGTCTTTCAGCATCCAAAGAACAGCGCTCTGGCACTTGCTACTGCTGTGTCAGCTGCTGATTACTGCCTGGAGCCTCCAGCAAGCGGTACCTTCCACCTCTCCTTGGGAAGGCCCTCGATTAATGTGTCTGCATGTCCAGAGAAAGTACCAGAGATTACCAGGCACCCATAAGCCACAGATCTTTGATGAGAAATTCACTTATGGTGCAGAAGTTCACTCCATCAGGGGCAGAAGTGACAACTATGTATTTGTATAATGAAAGAGTTAATCATAATCTTGAAGTACACTTCAAGATTTTCCTTTTTTTCCCCCCCTTTTTCTTTTAAGTGGAATCTATTCACTGACCTAAATTTTCTGTTCCTCATAAGCTCTGTTTGGCTCATGCATGAAGGAAAGGGGCCAAAGATGGCCTTGTGCCACCGCTGGTCTGCTGGGGACTTGCGTAGCTCCCATGTAAATTGGCCTCGGGCTGCCCTCGTTTGGATTTGGCTCCATCCTTCAGCTTTGGCTGCAGCAGCCCCCGAGGGGCCTTTCCTCAGCCAGGAATAACTCAGCAGCTCTCCGGCCACCCTTCCAGCCCCTGGATCTCTCCAGCAGACCCAGCATTTATCCCTGAGCCAAATGGCAGCATCCCTGATAGCAGCGGGGCGGGGGAGGATGGAAAACCCAATTAACCCTTTTTCCTCAGGGATGCAGACGGGTCGGGCAAAGGCGATACACCGGCTTCCCTGTGTGAAGAGCTCCACGGCGGGACGAGCCGGACACCAGAACCGGATCGGTCCCTCGCGTGTCTTAACCCGGCGGTCCGGAGATCCGGGTCCGCCACAGCCACCCCGGGAGGCCACCGAGTAGCGCTCGCCGAGCGCAGGTGGGGCAGCGGCGGCGGGCGAGGAGCGCTGGGCGGGCACTGAGCGCCTTGTGCCGGACCCGGACCGGCTCCGCCGGGGCTCCCGGCCCGCATCGCCCATCGCCCCGGCATCGCAAATCGCCCTCGCCCCCGCCTCGGCAGCAGCGCCTCGCCCGCCCCGTCCGGCAGCGGGAGCGCCCCTTTCCCGCCTCTCCGCTGCCTCCCCGCCCGCCTTCCCCGCGCTCCCTCCGCCCCCTCGGCCGGCAGCTCCCGCCCGCCGCTCCCCGCTGCGCAGAGCGGCCGCGCCGGCGGGGGATGGAGAGCCAGCGCTGCTTCGCCAACCGCTTCGATGACTACCCGGGCAGCCCCGCGGCGGCGCCGGACAGGGACGCGGCGGTGCCGCTGGTGACGGCCACCATCGAGCGCATCCTGCGGGAGCTGCCGCCCCTGGGCGGCCCCCGCGGCTGCCCGGGCGGGCTGTACGGCGGCGTGGCCGGCGTGGCCTACATGCTGTACCACGTCGCGCAGTGCCCGCTGTTCGCGCCGTCGCGGGACTCGTACCTGCGGGCCGCCCGCCGCGTCGTGGACGCCTGCCTGCGCTACCAGGAGGGATGCGGCGAGGCCGACGCCGATACCCGCGCCGCCTTCCTGCTGGGCGGCGCCGGGGTGTACGCGGTGGCCGCGCTGGTCTACCGCGCCCTGGGGCTGCCCGACTACGCGCGGCCGCTGGGCAAGTTCAGGGAGCTGAGCGAGGTGTGCGCCCCGCTCTCCTTCCTCGAGTGCGGCTCCGACGAGCTGTTCGTGGGCCGCGCTGGGTACCTGTGCGCCGCGCTGGTGCTGAAGCAGCGGCTGGGCATGGAGGTAAGGGCGGGCCGGGGGCAGCGGGGGCGGTCACCGGGGCGGCTTTCCGCCGGGCCGGGACAGTGCCCCCGGTGCTAGAGGGGCACGCAGCCGTGCCGCGGCTGTCTGCAGTTTGCACTTTAGGGAACCAGCTTCAGAGCCCCCGGGGAGCGAGTTCCCCGGTAGCTGTTCCTCCTCAGCGCTCCTCCCCGCAATGAAAAGATGCGGCTTTGGCCAGAGGGAACGGGATGGGGTCCCCGCTGTGGAGCGGAGCCCTGCATCCCGGGACACGCCGAAAGCATCAGTTGTTGGTTGCCGGGTGATGAATTACTTGGCAGAAGCCACCCCGGTCTTTTCAAGAGTATTTCCGTAAAATTAAGTGGGTGAGAAAAGAAATAGCTTGAATAAAACAGAGTGAGGAACCCTGTAATACTAAGCGGTGCTGTGCTGTAATTTCTAAGCAAGGAACCAGAGTTTCAGAGGCATTTGGTCTTGCTAACCCCAGCATACAGACTTTTGGAATTCTGGCCGTGTATTTTTGTGCTTTTCATGAATGAGAGCAGGGATTTTTTGCTGTAAGCATGAGATGTGGTTATGATTCAACACAGTGTTTGATTCAGTAGTCGGGACTTTACCCCAGGACATTGTCATTGTCAGTACAGTTCAGCTGACAATTCAGAGCTTCCACTGATTATGGGATAATAACTATTGCAACTGATTGTGTTTGCTGTGGTGATTGTTACCAAGTGGTCAGTGTGGTATCTGAGCAGGCAGTTGGTAGATTTTTTTTGCCTTGTCCTCTTGTCAAGTCCAATCTGTGTTTCCTTGGTTAATCACTGATTTGCAAGTTCATATGCTTCTGGCTTTGTTCCCTCCCAGGAGAGGAAGCAAGATGTATTTATAAGTAAATAAATGATGTAAAAACCAGTGGCTCTGCCCCATCCAATACCAGTCATTGCAACTGGAGTCTGAGGAAATTCACTTAATGGAGGTCTCAGGAGGCTTGAGGGTATCCAGAGAAGCCAGGAAGAATGTTAAGTCAGTTAAATACTGTGATTGCCTTGAGCTAAAATCTGTAACCACACTAAGCATTTCAAGTAGCATACCAAGCCTGCTATTACCTGGTACAGGATTGTCTGACAATCATAACCATAAACATGGTTCTGTTATTTGCAAACATAACCAAACTCTTCATTTTGATGGCCTTTCCCATGGCAGGAAAGTTTTGTAGACACATCACAATCCATTGTGCAGCAGCACCTGCCTGAAGGGATGGTTTCTCATGGAGAAAGAACCCTGTTGGTTCTGTTTGCACTGGGCAAGTGTGTCCAGCACCCTTGTCAGTGCTTATGATGATGTTGTGACATTCCAGCAGGAGGAGGTGGCATTCTGCACTCTACTGCTTTATTTAATGCTTTTTCCATTTGGCTGACATCCCTGAGAGCAATTGCTAAACAGTTGGGAGAGTGGGTGCAGTCACCTCTCACAGGCAGCGTGAGCAATGGGAGAGCTCTCCTTTATTTGCTTGCTTGGTGAAAAATTGTGCTAAACACAGCTGTAAAGAGTTAAACATCCCTACAGATAAGCACAGGTATGCACTTACTGTGGAATCTATTTAGCAGATGGGTTAATTGCTATTTTGCCAAAAAAATGTATCCTGTGACCCCTTGCTGGTGTTTTAATTGATAAGCTAATGTCCTTCTATAGTATTATTTCTTCTGTCAAATGCATCATAATTTTAAATGCATAGTGGAAGAAACAAAGCACACCATTAATCATTAATAAAATAAAATTAAACTTTTTAATTTTAATAAAGATTTTAAAAACTTGCAACTAAAATATTTTGCTTCTTTGTGAGGAGAATTACAATTTCTAGTCTGTATGTACTCAAGCTTGAGCAAAATTTGTGTCCTTTGATAAATATTCCCAGCCTACTACAGAATTATTTTAATTAGTACATTGCCAGACCAAACCCTGCATCTTTTTACAAATGAAGAAAGGGATGCCCAGAGAGAGTTCATGTCATTTATTACTCAAGGTCAAACTGTAAGCCAGGTACATCCCAGAATAGAAGCAATATCTTGTGATTCGAACCGCTGGAAAATGCTACCTCCTGTAATTTGATTGTGCACAGCCTCACATGGCTCATTGCAGCATGTTTTCTTGTTACCCACGTTCTGCTTTTTTTTTTGTGCTTTTTTTTTTGTGCTTTTTTTTTTGAGGACACTGAGCGAATATTTCCAGCACAAACTGAAATCCATTCCTTACAATGAAACACAGCCGCTGCAGCCCGCATGGTTTTTTCCTCTGAAGGAGTCAAATGGTGACCTATATATGAGAAATCGCTTGTCCTTGAAAAAAACCTTTTGAGGGAATTCTATAATTTATGTCTTGGGTTTGTTTTTTGTTTAATCCAGGCAGGGACGGAAGGAGACAGCTTTATTTCAGCAAACTCAAGTTTAGCTCAGATGTTTTGCCTCAATACTTCAATTTCTTGCTAAAGATTCCTGGTGTCTTTAAGCTCCACATGTTCTTCATGAAGTTAATGGACTGTCCTGATGGATCCAGTCTGTTGGATAACACCGACCTCATGTGAAAAAGGCATTTGCATTCAGCTGGTTTTCAGATTTTTAGGCTAATACAGCATTTTTCCCTGATTAATTAATTGGGACTTTTTGCATGAGTAAGGATTACTTCAGCAGTCAAGGCTTAACAGGATTTGACTTTCATGATGCACTGTGCATTAGGAAAGATGTTTATTTTCATCCCTTCTTTGATTTCCAGTATATTGCAGTCAGTGCATCCCAGACACAGAGGGATAAAATATTGTTTTGGCAGAAGAAATGTGTCGTTTGTATAAGGTGAATATACTTTAGCTGTCCTTTACTGCTGTGTTTTCACCATTCAGAGGGAAAAATTTTCTTTTATTCTCTCTTAAGTACATCTTTTTCTAATGCTTGTAGTTGGTTCATTGTGTGTCCTTGGGGAAATCTGTCAGTCCTGCTTTTAATTACCTTCACTCACTCTCTGCTTGGGCAAACAGCAGTAAGACAGTTAAAATGGTGGTCCCATCCCTCTGTTTGGATGATATTTTATCCTCTCCTCGATTTTTCTCTGTGGTGCTTCTGTCCCATTTCATGGTTGATGGAGCATGGTGTGCCGCGGTCGTTGCGCTCCCTTCTGGCAATGTAACTGTCAGATGACAGAGGAAAAGGTACGGAAGTTCAAGTGGCTCCTTGTATTACCATCTGCTAAAGATGTTGCTGCCTTTTAGCACAGCTTGGGTTATCTTTTAATAACTGACTGTATGGATGGGCTCAACTGATTTCCACTGGCTTGGGGTTGCAGTAGCACAGAACAGCAGTGGTGCCCTGTAGGAGACAGGGCAGCATTTTGCACAGCCTGTGCTGTGATTCCATTGGAGACCCTGGTTCCAAAAGACTTCAGGGACCCTGTGAGAGACCCTTGCTGCAGCTGCAGGGGTGACAGGGTGAACCAGCACACTGTGGCAGCAACGTGGCCAAACCTGTTTCCTCCGGGACTGAGGCACTGGGGAGTCTCAAGAGCCTGTAGAGGCTCTCTCATAGCACAGTGGTTAAGCTTCCTGTCTCTGTGGCAGAGGGACATCTCAATTTCCTTTTCCAGCCAGTGCTAGGTTGTGAGCTGGTGTGCGTTTCCAGGGGTGTTATCCTGTCAGAGTGTGCACAATTCTGATATTCTGATATTCTGTCATATGGCCCAGAAAGGGCCATGGTCTTTCTAGCTGGACCCCATTGAGTGTAGGGCCCTACTGAAAACCATTCTTATCCTGGCTGCCATTTGTCACCAGAGCCTCTTTAGTCTTGGACCTCAGGAGATTGCAAATCAAGCTCAACGAGTACACCAGTTCTGTACAAAAGCAGGAGCAGCACTGCTGTGGGATGTCTGGGATCCGGGTGCCAGAGCAAGGGAAGTGTCAGGTGTTATTTTAAAAGGCAGTGGAATGGATGGTTGTTGCAGTGTGTGGAACTGGGTCCAACCAGTGTGTATTTTGTAATATTCTGGATACAAATGAATGAAAACTATTTTCTTTCAGCTCCTCAGACAGTTCTAGATGATGTTATTGGTTCCTTAGAGCCTTCCCTTCAGATAGTCAGTGAGTGTTTAAAGACCATTATTGTAGGCTGCTTTGCTCCACTTTTTCCTTTTCTTTCAATCTCTTAGGAGAAAATTGGAAAGTGTGAGAGGAAGAATCTTCCTGAGTCTTGCCTAGAACATGTTCATTTGCAACTCTTTAACGTGGAATGTAGATGTATTAATGCTGAACATAGTGTTTCTGAAAGGTATACAAATTAAAGATCTTTGAAGGGAGAGCAGCAAAATACCCACAAAACTGATGCTCCTCCAAGTGCCTAGTGCAGAATCCCTGTGTCAGGCTTTTAATCTCACCTGCATCTGAAAGGGGAGGGTTGGCCTTTGAGGTGAGATTTCATTCTTTAACTGTGGCCGTTAAAGTCCTTTCTCTCTGTGGAAGAATTTGCCAATTTATGTGAAACGTTGTGGTGTTTGAAATGTCTGATATTGTGGTGCTAGCTAGGACTGTGCTGATTTCATTATTTCATTTCACACAGGCCACTACACAGCCAGGATGTCTTTTTTTGCCAGAGGATTAAAATGAGTTAACAGTAAAGATAAAATCTTTTTATTCTAGCCTGCCTCTTTTAAATGTACAGTCTCCTAGCCATGGTTTCCAAAATTACACACAGGGGATAAATTTTGCATTGGTTTGCTTAAATTGATGAATTTAAACCAGCCATTGAAAACCGTGTTTTTCTAAAGTAAACTGTAAAACAAAGGGAATTATTAGAATCTGGATTTTTTTTTTTTTTAAGGAACCTGAAATAATTTGGGTATACATTTCAGCATTTTCCTGTTTCTCTTCAGCAAGCCAGTGCAAGTCTTTTTTATTTTAACAGCCTTCAGATTGGGAGATGGGAACATCTTGATAATGGCTGGATTCAGTTCAATGCAGTGGACCCTGA